TGCTGAGAATCTGGGTACAATCTCTTGCCCGTCAGTTTGGTTTTGCTGCCTTGTCCTCAATGACATTTCTCTCTAATAAAGATTAAACAGGAGAGAAATATTTCAACCAGTCATTTGCCATAACTTTTGATTTTTGCCTTTCTGCTCAAAGCTTGAGTCTTGAATGTTTTAGCCCAGGACACCTTTAGGCTAGTTCTAGACAGTGGACCTATTTCGGGATACCGGATGTTTCTCGAAATAGCAATTTGTGTCTTTAAATGCGCCTGTTATTCTAAAATATATTTCAAAATAACTGGCATGCTTTTCTGCAGTCGAATAGCGCTTTATTGTCAGAATAGCGCTTTATTTAGAAATTACCCCAAAATGTGCTACGCAATTTGGGTAGCACAAATTACATAGCTTATTTTGAGGTAAGGGTGCTATGTAGACGCACCTTTGTGTTCTCACCTTACAAAAGTGCCCTAAAGCCAGCAGAACCAGCTAATGAGGGAGTCCTTCTGGCAGCACCTACACCAGTTCCTTCCCAGCTCCCCACACAAGAGTTCGTCCAGGGAGCAGTGATGTGATTGAGGTGATGTCCCTGCACCTTGACAATCCCTGGCTGCTAGAATAGCAGCTGTCAGGCAGTGGAGTTGAAACTGGTCTGCCTGTGGCTTTTCTAATTTATTCTATGGTTGGAACCAATGCAGAGTGAGACCCAAGATGAGAGGGCTACGAAGAACTGTGCATCCCCTCTCCTCAGCTGTGCCCAGAGCTGCTTGGGAGCAGGTCTACATCTGGCCCTCAGTGAGCTCATTGCGAAGGTGTTTTCAAGGTTAACATTAAATCAGAAAAGACAAATCAAAGCCCAGAAAAGACTTAGATTTAGTATCGGAGAAAGGCAACCTAAATCAAGGCTGCTGTCATTCATGTCAGGCTCAGGTCAGAATGGCCTTGAATCTTCTCCAGGGGCGGCCCTAGACTAGCTGCCAGTAACTGGCACCCTAGGCGAACCATGCAATCGGCGCCCCCACCTCCAAACCCCTCAATGATATTGCGCCCCATTTAACTTGGCACCCTAGACGACTGCCTAGTTCGCCTATATGGACGGGCCACCCCCATCTTCTCCTACGATTTCTGCAAGCATTTCTTATATTTGGGTAGCTAAAGGCACTTCCACCCCTGACATCCTAGGGATCATGCAAATAGCGGGGTTCAAAATACTTGTTTCATATTTAGAAACAAATTGTGGTGTTGTGCAAAACTCCTTGTTAAAATGAGCGAGGAGACTGGTTTGGCAGATGATATCAGTTCCTCCAGTCCCTCTTCAGTGCTCTTCATATTTTATTTACCTCCCTGCAGCCGTGCTTTCTCTTTTCTTTTGTATATCCCAAAGAGTGACTGTAAAGAGAATGTTGCCAGCTCCTTCATCTTGTCCATTATATCTTGGGAGGCCCATACAGGGAGAGTAAAATTGTGAATACGCTATAGTGAAAAAGGAAAGTGAAAATTACTTTTTCTCCCATTCCTTTTCTCTCCACCCCCAACCCATCCTTACATTGTTGCCTTTGGACTCCTGTGGCTCTCTCCTGCTTCCTTTGTCATGTTGCTTCATTTCCTGGCATCTGACCCTGATTACCCTTTTAGGAAGACTCCTCAGCATGGAGGAAATGTAATTCTTAGTGGAAATGTAATTCTCTTGTTGCAGTTGTTTGTCTTTTTGGTTTTTGCTAGTGTGCAGATTTGGAGAGGAAGATGCATGCCCTGCCGGGCCAACTCACTCCTGCTCCTTCTCTGACATTGAATCTGCAAGGCATAATCTAGCTCATAGTAGGGAACCCAGTTTCCTGTTCTAACCACCAGACAATTCTTCTACCTCTTATTTTCAACATCCAGCTAAGTACAGGTTGACACTCTCTAGTCTGGCTTCCACGAGATCTGACTAGACCTGGTTGAGGGATTTTGCCAGTGATAGGGAGATCATACCTGGCTCCCCTGCTACCAGCTCTCCCCCAGCCCTGGACCAGCCGCCAGTCTCCTGGCTGGCTCTCCCTTGCTGCCAGCTTCGCTGCCCTGCTGATCCCCCACCTCCTTCCCTGCTGTGGTTGGCAGCCCAGCTCCCTGTGCACTGGGCTCCTGGTCCTGCTGGGCAGGCTCAATGTGAAGTCCTGAGCTCTTGGCCCCGCTGGGTAGCCCCACTGTGGTGCACTGAGCTCCTGGCCCCACCAGGCAGCCCCACTGTTGTGCGCTGTGCTCCTGGCCCACCAGGCAGCCCCACTGGGTTGTGCCTGGCTGCCTAGTTGTAGCGCACTGGGCAGCCCAGCAGCGGGGAACACAGCCACCAGCCCTTCACCAGGACTCTCTGGTCCTGGAACATCCGTGGTCCTACCAGATGACAGATGTTGCTGGACCAGGGGGTCCCAGATTACAAAGGTTTAACCTGTATGCTTTGAGACTTCCTTTCCTCATGAATTAAATTATGCCTTATTATCATTCACCATTCCTCGAATGGTGCCAAAAAGAAACCAAGCTCAGTACAGCACAGGAGACCAGTTATTGCTGTGTTTGGCTGAAAACAAAATGTGCTGTTTAGATGAATCAGATCTTTCTGGGCTAATTTCCTTCTCTCGTTCTCTTTTAAATACCTCACAAGCCAGAGTATCATATGTATTCCAGGCTTTGAAATTATTCAGTTGTTTCAGAGTATCCATGTCATATCCCGAGTTAGCTGCCATCGTTTTTAAAACCCCCTGAAAGACAAAAACAAAAGGAAACATACACAACAAATGCCTCGAGACCCCCAGACACATGTTCCTATGGACTCATAGCCACCGAGCCTGCAAACTCTTACACACATGCCTAACTTTACACATGGGAACAGTCCCAATGAAGGTTTTTGTTGTTGCAGCTCTCACTCAGGAGCCTTAGATGCTACTGCTCTTTCTGTCTCTGTGACTAACTTTTACTCATCCTTGCTATACTTCATTGGAAGGCTCCACTTGCTGGCTTCCTCTCTCCCTGCCTTGAGTACTTCAGTGGTCCAAGGATCTGATACAACCTCCTCACTCACCTCTTCAAGTGAGCCTTCTGAAGTGGGAGCTCCTTTGGAGAGGTGAGTAAATTGAGAAGAGGCAGTGGGGGAAGGGGAAGAGAGGAACAAGGGAAAAAGGAAATGGGAACAGGAAGGAAGGAAGGGGAAAACCTACAGGATGGAATGGAGACAAAACCCAGAGGAAGGAAAAGATTAAGGAAAGAAGGAAGAGAGAAAAACAAATTACAGGCAGTCCCCGGGTTACATACAAGATAGGGACTATAGGTTTGTTCTTAAGTTGAATTTGTACGTAACTCGGAACTGTGAGACAGAAAGGGGGAGACTGCCTGGATAACTGGCAAAGGGCAACATTGGAATGGGAAAAATGTCTCACAAAGATGCTACAGAGGGAACCAAGCTTGCCAGCTACCTCATGAAGATGGTGGTGAGGAGAGGAAACAAGACCTGCTCTCTGCTCCCAGTCACTCTGGTGAGGATAACAGACTACCACGCTTAGACTCCCCCAAAAAAGACCACAGTTCAGGGGAGCTGAGGCCTCTTAAGGGGAAAGGTTGGTTGTGTCTGAACAATGGGGTTGGATAAGCACCCAAAGTTTAAGTTGCTTCTTGAAAACTCTAGTATTCTCCCATCACTGTTTAATGTGTATATTTTACAATATTGGTACATGCATTTGCAGCTTGTGCCCTTGGAGTCAAGCATCATAACATATCATTGTAAGGCTGCAATATATGAGGCAAAGAATGTTGTGAAGATGGGATTTTCAATCCAGGAGGAGGATCAGGTCTTTGAGAACAGCCTGAAAAACTATATCTGCTTTGGAGTTCTGATAATTAAATGAATCACTTTAAAAACAATCTACGTGTCACCAGAATGTGTATGCCAGGCCTGGACAAAACACCCTGCGCAGGCCAGATCCGGTCCACCAAGCCACCGGATCCAGCCTGTGGATGCAGTGGGGAGTCTCAGGCAGACTCCCCTGTTTGCCTCGCCCCCACAGGCCACTCAGAAAAGTGGCTGCTGGGCCGTTTGTATTCCACAAACTGTGAGCGCAGAGAGGAGGGAGGAGTGGTGCTTCATGGCTGCTCCCGCCCCCAGCACAATCCCATTGAATGTTTCCCTGCCAATGGAAGCTGCCTATTTGAAAAACAGAAACTACAGGCAGCACTTGAGGGACCACTTCTCCCCGCCCTCTGCTCTTATTCACAGAGTACATGGCCCTGCAGTCTGTGTGGGGGCAGGGCAGGCTCCTGCCTGACAAATGTGCTAGGCTGCTGGTCGGGAGTCCCACTGGTAAGTCTCCCAGCGAGAGCCTGCTTCTGCCCCCAGCCCCTCCCTCCCACCCAGCCCTCTGGCCCCCCCACTCCTATCCCCTTATCCCACGTAAGTCAAACCTTCTGCCCTCTCATAAGCCCATACCCGCTCCCAGACCCAGCACCCCAATCCCTTGCCCCAGGTCAGAATCCCCTCCTGCCCTAGGTCACAGCCCAAACCCCTGCACTGTAATCCCCTGCCTAAAGCCCTGCACCCCAATCCTGTGCCCCAGACACAACCCCCTCCTACCCTAGGTCAGAACAATCCAAACTACTCCACCCCCAATCCCATGCCCAAGATCACAACTGCCTCCTTCAAACTCTCTCTCAGCCCTTACAGGCCTTCCTGCACCTGAATCCCTTGCCATAGGGGTGAGCATGGCAGCCTCCATGGCCTGGATACAGCCCGCCAACGTTGATTTGGCCTGCAGCCACCCTGCCACTCCCCCACTCCCAGGCCAATTGAGACTTGGGGGTGCGGGAGATGGTGGTTATCTCTAGTTGCTGAGGGGCAGGGGCAAAGACATACATGTTATTGTTTATGAAAGTTTTCATTCCTTCTAACTCTGAAACTGCCTGAGGCTATGCAGGGCTATGCCTCCCTTATCTTTTACAAGAACCTATTGATGTGCCATTTCCAGAGTCCATTGGTGAAGCCGTGTTCATACTAAGTCTGGTCTATAGCTACATCTCTCAGGCACGTGAAAAATCCAGCCCTCGAGATTGAGGCCTTGTCTACACTAAACAGAAGATTGCCACTGCCGCGATCAAACTTCCGGCGTTCAATTTAGTGAGTCTAGTTAAGACTCAGTAAATTAAACTCAGAGGCTGTGTCTAGACTGGCAAGTTTTTCCGCAAAATCATTTGATTTTGCGGAAAAACTTGCCAGCTGTCTACCTGGTATAGATCAGTGTAAAGTCGATGGAAGAGTTCTTCCACCGATGTAGTGCTGGCCTATACCAAGGGTTAGCTAAGGCCAGATGTACACTAGACTCAGCAGCTTGGCTTAAGGTACACAACTCCAGCTATGTAGAATACGTAGCTGGAGTCGGCTTACCTTAAACTGAGCTTGGCAGCATCCCCACAATGGGAGGCCAACAGAAGCAAATGTTCCCATTCGCTTCTCTTACTCCTTGCAAAAGCAGAAGTACCAGACACCAGCGAGGGCACCCTCCAGCTACATCTACACTGGCATGATTTTCCGAAAATGCTTTTAACGGAAAACTTTTCCGTTAAAAGCATTTTTGGAAAATCATGCCAGTGTAGATGTAGCTGGAGGGTGCCCTCGCTGGTGTCTGGTACTTCTGCTTTTGCAAGGAGTAAGAGAAGCGAATGGGAACATTTGCTTCTGTTGGCCTCCCGTTGTGGGGATGCTGCCAATCTCAGCTTAAGGTAAGCCGACTCCAGCTACGTATTCTACATAGCTGGAGTTGTGTACCTTAAGCCAAGCTGCTGAGTCTAGTGTACATCTGGCCTTAGCTAACCCTTGGTATAGGCCAGCACTACATCGGTGGAAGAACTCTTCCATCGACTTTACACTGATCTATACCAGGGTCAGGTAAGTTATAGCTTTGCCTCTCAGGTCGGGGAGGGCAGAAGGTGGGAGGGGGTGGCTTTGTCATATCTGTGAGTGATGTAGCTATACTAAAGTAAATTCCCATTTCAGATCAGGGCTTGCTGTGCACTGATTCATTTGAATAAGGGTTGCACAACTTGGTCCTTGCTATGTGCTCATACAAGGAGTGTAAAGGAATTCTGCCACTGCACACCTATGTGTTCTCTACCTGTACCATGGGTAGCAGGGTGGGAATGGGAAAGGTGGCTGCTGGGCTGCTTCTTCCCCTCCCTTGCTGTTGGTTGTGGGAATGGGTGGAGCTGGCCAGCACAGCAGAGCTGGTGTAGTGTGGGAAGTAATAAGTTGCACAAGGAAAAAGGCTGACACAGCTTGCTTTCCCTCATGAAACAAGGAGGAAGCAGGAACTGACTCATGATACAGAGTCTGGTTTGTTCCTGGGACAGTGCTACTAGGCATTGCTTTAGACTAGGCCTCTTCACTCCTATTTAATTTATTACCTGTGAAAGCCTCCATAGCAGGAGAAGTTGGGGGGAATTTGGGTGAAGATGTGTGTCAAGGCCAAAGCCGAAACACTGCTCAACTTTGGGTGAGATGATGCAAATAAATAGTGTTGTAATGAAACTTGCAAAAGTAGAAATGCTGGAGTTATTTTTACATGGGTTTTGCTGCGCAATAGTCACATCCTGAGGTTTTCATCACTCCCCAGTTTCAGCAGAGTAATCACATCTCTATGATTGGTTTTATGCTGCACAGTAATGCAGGAAATTGCTGCCTCCGGAATATTTTCAGTCTCATTAGACTATTAGTACAAATTAAACCTCACCCAAAATAGCCTGAGCTTGTTAGTGCTACAGTCCCATCTAAAAATTAAAACAAAATAAAATAAAACCTAAGTTAAAATATATATGTATGGGACTTGCTCAGTGTGCAAGTATATTAAGAATATTTTATAGTAATATTAGCCTGTCTTGCGGTAATTATATTTTTAAGAAGTTGTTGTTCCTTGGGAGACAGTAACAGCATTTCAGTAAATGGAAACAATGCAACATCACAATCCCTTAAGTTTACAATTTTTTCCTTTTTGTTTTACCATGTAGGATTGCAACTTGTCTTGAAATTGCTTCGATGCCTGGGTTTCATTCTGAAGTTTATCAAAACATGGACAGTTAGGAATAGGAAAGCGCAGCACCTGAAATAAAGAAAAGTTAAACTTGTCATATGAGCAGGCACTTAGAATGGGATCCACAGAGGGATTTAGGTATGGCAAAGCTGGACATCACAGCGTCTAACTTTTAGGTGCCTAGAAAATCCCAGGAACAACACTGGGAGCCACAAAGTCTAAGGTCATGTCTCAACTTGCGGGAAGATTGACGCTGCGGCGGTCAAACTTTTGGAATTCGATTTAACAAGTCTAGTTAAGACCGACTCAATCAAATAGTGAGGGAACCTCCATTGGCACTGGTACTCCTCGCTGTTGCAACGAGTGAGGGAAATCAATGGGAGCATTTCTCCTGTCAATCTCCTGCAGTGGAGACAGTGCCGAGTTCAGCTTAAGGTACGTTGACTCCAGCTATGTTATTTCCATAGCTGGAGTTGTATACCTTAAGGTGACTTTTCCAATGTAGTATAGACTTGGCCTAAGAAAGGCACCTAGGCTCCCTATACAATAAAGGGGGGACGTAGGCTCCTTAGGCCAGATCTATACTATACCAGGAAGGTTGGCTTAAGGTACGCAACTCTAGCTATGTAAATAACATAACTGGAATCGATGTATCTTAAGCTAAGCTTGGTGCCATCTCCACAGCAGGAGGTTGATGAGAGAAATGCTCCCATCGACTTCCCTTATTCCTCACAACAGCGAAAAGTACCGGTACGGATGGGGGCGCCTTCAGCCTTCGGTTTAACAGGTCCAGGAAGGTTGGCTTAAGGTACGCAACTCTAGCTATGTAAATAACATAACTGGAATCGATGTATCTTAAGCTAAGCTTGGTGCCATCTCCACAGCAGGAGGTTGATGAGAGAAATGCTCCCATCGACTTCCCTTATTCCTCACAACAGCGAAAAGTACCGGTACGGATGGGGGCGCCTTCAGCCTTCGGTTTAACAGGTCTTTATCCTGAAAGATCAACTGCCACAGCATTGATCTTCCCGCAAGTGGAGATGTGGCCTTTGGCTGTCATCCATAAAAAGCCAACATGATTAGGTGGGGAGCTGCCCCAGCTAGCCAATGGCAGATGCTGATGACAGAGGTATGTGCTAAGTACTGACTGTGTCATTCTGAGATGCCTACATCCAGGCTGAAGGGAGGCATGTATCTTTGCTTAGCAGTCCATGAATAAGAATCAGTCTCATGGAGTCAGGCAGCTGAAGTGCCTAAACCACTTCATGAGGCATCGAGTGAGGCACCTGCCTTGCTCCATGCAAACAGCCAGAGGAGGAGGGGGTACCTTCTTTACTGCTATTTGCCCAGTGCTTTTTTAGAGGACTCTCTTGGAATGTGTGAGACCCATATTCAACTTCCCCCTCCCTGCCAGAGAGGGAGAAAGGAAATGATCAGGAGTCTCCTACTCTCAGGCGCATTATCTAGTCCCTGCGCTATGAGATATTCTGATTTGGGACACCTCCTGTTTCTCCTGTGGAAACTGTTACACTGTGAATAAATAATGAAAGAGTGATTATAGCTGGGGGACAATACCTGGGGTCTCCCTCCTCCTAGGTGATGCCCTGATCACAGAACTACAGCATCATTCTCCCTCTCCATCTTCCTCTCCCAGTATCTTGGTGGATCTGGATCACTGTGACTCCCTTTCTAATCCAACTTAGGTTTTTATGCCACATCTATCCCTTGTGGGGTCTAACTGTTGACTGTCAGATTCATGGTCACGCTTCAGCTGCTTTGTGCCAATCCACTGGTTCAAAGTTGTTCATATACTTGGTGAATTTTGGCAGTGGAACCTTCTGCTGGCATGGCCAGGAAGCCATTAATCTAGCTGATCCCTGGTTGTTAGAATGACCCTCTTAAGCGGCTGTGTGTATTTTAGAGCTGCTCTGAGAACTGGCTGAATTCCCAGGATCCAGTGTACAAAGGTGGTTTAAACTACTTGTTCCCACTTCTCAACTCCAAATGCAGCCCAGTTCTGGAATCTGTGTATTAAAGTTTTAAACTGATCTCAGATCCATGTGTAAAATATAGTATTGTTTTGTTATAACTACAATAATACTGTACCTATTTTGCCACTGTGTATTCTTGGGAATAGAGAAGAGACAGAACTGAATTGTGCTCCTAAATATCGAAAGCATGTCTGTATAATAGCTTCATTATTGCTTAGTAACACATGCGTGAAATTCTCCCCTAGTCAGAGAATTTGCATAACTGCAGATCACTTATCTCCTGATAAGTCCTTCTGTGATGAGTTAATTGGTGGTTAGGTGTTGTATATGTCTTGTATTGGCTTTCTCTGACCTAGTGTGATTTGCACTCTGAGCAAAGCCATGTCCAGTGCTTCCCTTTGTATGTGGTCCTTCCGTGCTGGAGCATCAGTATATCGGCTGGAGCAGATGCTAGCAGAGAGGCATTATTAACATGCTTTGAATTGGAAATACTGCATGACTTCCAAAGTGCATGTTCTTTCATATTAGCAGCACACTCTGGAGGCTCTAGATTTAAGGCGGGAGGTTTTGGACTGTTGTTTTAATTGCACAATAACAAATAATTACTTTTGTTGTATGGCTTCATCATCACCTTTTGAGTGTTATCACTTAAGCCACTCTCTTTGGTTTCATTAAGTAGTGCACAGTGCTGCTCCCTGTCAGCTCTGAATAGATCACAGTAGGCCAAGAAAATAACCTGTGACCCAAGTTTATTACTACATGGTATTTTGCTTGGATTTCCCAGTCTGTATTGTTTGGAGCTCGAAAATACCCACAGACATTTGGACATGGGGGCCCTGGGAAGACAGAGTTCCTGTCTCTACAAGTGGTTGGCTTATTCAGAAAAAACTTTCATGTTGCTCCAGGAAGTTGTTGTTATTAAACATTAAGGCCCCCACCTGGGAAAGTTGCACACCTGACAGGGAAGAAGAGCACTCATGCAAATGAGCTTGCCATGTCCCGCAGCTCCCTTTCCCTGTACAGCAGCGACTCAGAGCATTTGGAGGCGTGGGTTTTGGATGAACATCTGATAGGCTTGATGCTTATCAAAACCTCTTCCCACCTGCATGCCTCCCTCCCTCTTGCTTCATTGCAGACAGCGTGAAAGTCAAGCTGAATCACATTGTCTGATCTGATTTGCCTGAGGCACCTCCTCCCTCCTCATCTCACTTTCCTACATGGCTTCCAAATGGAGTAATGCTCATTATGATCGAGAAGGGGTGGGAACAGGGGACTGGACTTGATGACCTCTCGAGGTCCCTTCCAGTTCTAGTGCTCTATGATTCATGAACAACTCCAGAGCAGGCAGGCATAGTGGCCTAATGACAGCAGTGGCCCATCTTCTCTGATGGCCTTGATGAACGGTGCGTGATGGTTTTATTGTTTCTTTTCATGTTTCCTCAAGAACTGTAGGTAGCAGGAGGAATGAAGCCTTTTCTGTCCTTGCTCTCCACAGCTTTTGTTCTTGTTAAATCACTCTCCTGCACAGTGCCCGACTGCAGCAGCTGCCAGCCCGCTGGCTGACAGATTTGTACCTGAGTCAGTCAGGAAGAGTGCATACGCCATAGCTGTTACCCCTCCTATCATTTCTTAGACAAATTCATTTGGTTTGTTTGTACACTTCTCAAGGCAGGGTCTGTCTTTTGATTATGTGTTTTTACAGCACTAGTGTAATGAGGCACCAGTTTACAATTGAGGCCCCTCGGTGTGACTGCAGTACAAATTAGTACTAGCCTCGGAGGGAGATTTTACAATGGCTGAGGTAAACTTCTCTCCTTGGCTGACCTCAGGAGCAAACCTGTTAGGCAGGGAAGCAAATTTAAATCTGAAACCACCTCAAAGGTCTGCCTGTCTGACTTATGTCTGGCCAGCAGGGAAAGAACCTGTCCCCATGAAAAGACTTTAGAGTGGAACTTCCTCAACTTCTCCTCGTGCCATTCTTGACAGGACAATGTCAAAGAATCACTGCAGAGGAGATTGAGATGAGGAATACAGGTCAGCTGCTCAACCCCTGTAGACTTTCATGCAACAGTTACAATTGAGCTGGTAGGACTGTATGCGAAGGGTCATCCTCAGGATTTATAGGGCCCTATGCAGTACTATGAAACGGGTGCCCCCATGCCTTTTAGAGAGGGGATTTTATAAACTTCAGCAACACACTACTAAAATATTTTTAAAGCAAATTTTAAACTAAGGTCCTGCAATAACACAGCACATTCAGAAACTGACAGTATATTGGCAAGTGTCTGTAACATGGCTTCATTACCACTTGAAAGACTCTTCCACAGGTTCAGTGCTCCGCTAATAGGTCTGACAGGCAGGAGCGGCTCAAGGAGAGCTGCTGACAACTGGCGCCCTAGGTGGAATGCGCGATCGGTGCCCCCGCCTCCATAGCCCTCAATGGCGTGATGTCATCATTGGCAACTGCCGAGGTTGCCTACATCCACGGGCCACCCCTGCTGACAGGTGTTTACACTTTTAAGTTAACTAGGTTTTTGGTGGAAGCAGAGTCACAGAACAGGGATAGGAAGAAGCAGGTGGGTGGACAGTAAGACCACATGGTGCCCCAAATTTTGGGGTGTTCTATGCAGTTGCATATTCTGCATATGAGTAAGGATGGTCCTATGTAGGTACAGATTTTGTAGGCCAACAGCTATGGAAGATGTTCTCTGTTGAAATGAACATATTGAGTAAAAGGCTTTTTCTCATCTCCTA